CTAGCAGGAGTGCTGCAACTGGAGTGGTTCATTCTAATCTAGACTTTGGCCAGAATGTGGGAAAGCAAGTGACTACTTCTCCACCTCGTACTTATGAACACCACCACACTAGCAGGAGTGCTGCAACTGGAGTGGTTCATTCTAATCTAGACTTTGGTCAGACCGTGGGAAAGCAAGTGACTACTTCTCTACCTCGTACTTATGAACACCACCGCTCTAGCAGGAGTGCTGCAACTGGTGTGGTACATTCTAATCTGGACGTTGGTCAGRACGTGGTAATGCAAAAAGACATGTCCACMTTTAGAAAAGAACAAATTAAGGCAAAAGATAACAAGCAAAGCTGGTCTCCATCAAAGGAAAGCTGCGGTTCTAGCGATTGTGATGGGGATGACGATAGCTGTAATGTTAATGGTAAACACGGTGTTGATCATGGGTATAATGGTAACATCAGTGGTAAAGAAAGTACTGATGACAATGATGGTCTAAATTATGATGACACTGATGACGATAGTGTACATGATAAGAGTGATGGCTATTATAGTGTACATGATGAGAGTGATGACGATAGCGTACATGATAAGAGTGATGGCGATAGTGTGCATGATGAAACAGATGGCGATGGTGTATTTGATGAGAGTGATGGCGATAGTGTACATGATGAAACTGATGGCGATAGTGTACATGTTGAAACTGATGTCGATAGTGTACATGATGAGAGTGATGGCGATAGTGTACATGAAACTGATGGCGATGGTGTATGTGATGAGAGTGATGGCGATAGTGTACATGTTGAAACTGATGGCGATAGCATACATGATGAAACTGTTGGTGATGACGTCGGGTTTGATGACGAGGACAATTACAATGACGATTGTGGAAACGGAATAGAGGACATTGAAAGCACATCCCGCCAAGTCCTACGAACAGAAAGCTTTAATTCTGATCAGCTTACAAATGCAAGGAAAGTAGAAAAAGCGGTTGATTTGTCTGATGGTCCAAGAAAGTCTACAGAGGTGCTAGTTAGCATCACTTTGCCAGCAGCGATAGATTGGAATATTGTATACAAYGACTTGAAAAGAATAACAAATAACACTAAGTTCAAGCTTCTAGATGAAACGAAARGCAAAAATCTCCATAAAAACAAGTTCTGCATCAGCTTTCAAAATCGTAAAARAGCAAGGTATCCCTTTTGTAATAATATAATATTCATAATAATCGTATGAGGAAGTGGCTGATCCCATTAAAGGGTGCWCAATACACACAAAGTGTAGAGCTACTTATATATATGATATCAAAGAGGCAAGATTTTGCTGTAACTCCGAGTTTCGTGCTACGCACTCATCAGACAGTATTTCAGTAACTGTCTGATGAGTGCGTAGCACGAAACTCGGAGTTACAGCAAAATCTTGCCTCTTTGATATCATATATATAATATTCATAATATGTTTTTTTTTCTAATGATGGTGGTATTGATATAGGCTGTTATATTTTCAGGMATGCCATGCATTTCATAAAAACAAGAAGGAAGACAATTCAAGCCGTTTACTGTGACAGTCTGATTCAAAAGTGCCAAGATGAGATCCTAAACGAAAAACAACATATGATTGCATTACACAKTGACAAAGCTAAAGATGTAACCAAAAAACTGATGTCTTTACAATCTGGGTCTGGAAAGAAGCAAAAGAAACTCAATTTCATCAGTCCCGAGGAGTTTGAAAAGCGCAAGGAAATGAAGGAAGCGTTGACGCAGACAGCAAAAGAGCTCAACGCTCAAACTAAGGAGTTCATTCAACTTACTACTGGATTAATTGGGCGTGTAGAACAGCTCAAAAACGTTTGCAATAGAGATATTAGTGTTGATCTMAAAGAAATTGAAGTGCGCTTCCAGAGAGAAAAAGAACGACTTACTGGAGGTCTACCTATTTATGCAGAGAAGACGCGTATTATCRAAGCTATMAAAGAGAATCAAGTCTGCATTATCTTAGGAGAAACTGGTTCTGGGAAGAGCACGCAGTTGGTCCAGTATCTCTATGACGCAGGTTTTGCAKACAAGAAAGCTATCGTGTGCACCCAACCAAGAAAAGTTGSTGCCTTCAGCCTGGCAAAACGTGTATCTGAAGAACTCAGAGATAACAGACTCGTTGACTGTATGGATGGTACAAGAAAAGGCAAAWWTTTTTCCAAGATCTTTTTCACAACCGACCACTCCCTGCTGATGAAATGTCTCAAAGATCGTGATTTGTCGAGCTATTCATGCATCGTTATAGATGAAGCACACGAAAGAAACATTAACACAGAYCTGCTTCTAGGAATCATCAAAAAGGCACTTCCAAGACGACCTGACCTTCGTGTTATCGTGACTTCTGCAACAATTGACCCCACACTGTTTCAAAACTACTTCGGTGGTTGTCCAGTCATAAAGGTTTCAGGGAAACTGTTTCCTGTAGAAGTCGAATGGAAGAAGAGCGAATATGGTGAAGATTATGTTTCAGAAGCTGTAGATAAAGTGGTTGAGATCCAAAGAAGCAACGAGGAAGGAGATATACTGGTGTTTTTGACATGTCCRGCAGAGATTGACCGTGCCTGTAGCATGCTGCCTAGTAGAGCTAACACTAGTAACCTTGAATATCTTCCKTTACACGGAAAGTTGCAGCAGGAAGATCAGCGAAAGGTTTTTGACCCCRCTCCTCAAGGAAAGCGTAAAGTTGTGTTCTCGACGAACTGTGCAGAGACCTCGCTGACCATACCAGGAATCAAGTTTGTCATAGACAGTGGAAGAGCTAAAGAAATGAAGTACGATCAGAAACGAAATCTCAGTTCTCTGGAAATAGCAATTGTTAGCCAGAGCTCAGCAGACCAAAGAARGGGTCGAGCCGGAAGGACAGACAGCGGGAAATGCTTTCGTTTGTACACCGAAAAACAATTCGATGATATGGAAAAGTCTTCAAAACCTGAAATACTACGTGTCCATCTTGGACAAGCCATCCTCAAGCTAATGGAGCTTGGTATAAACAATCCGGCGGACTTTGATTTCGTGGAATCTCCTCCGCTAGAATCCATCATTTCATCGATGTCTGAATTAGAAGAGCTTGGTGCAATTGAAGAGGGAAAGTTAAGTGAACTTGGCAAAAATATGGCTCGACTACCGTTGGAACCTCGCCTTGGAAAGTTCCTATTTGAAGGATTCGATGAAGGCGTTGGCTATGAAGCGCTTGTCTTAGTCTCAATTGCCACTATTACTGGAAGTGTTTTCTTCCGTATGGGGACAGAGGAAGAGAAGAAAGCAGCTGATGACAAGAAGATTGAATTTTGTCAACTTGGTGGTGATTTAATGACTCTGTTGGATGTGTACCGAAAATGGCTTGATGTCGACGAAAGGGATCGTGGTAGATGGTGTTATTCTAAGAGTTTGAATGCCAAAGCAATGAGAATGGCCAATGAGACGGTCAAGGATCTCAAGATGGTACTAAAGCGGGAGCTCCATATCGATAACATTGTATGGGCAGCATTGGATCGAAAAGAAACAGACAAGATTCTTCAAAAAACTCTGTTTTCCTGCTACCTCAGCAAATTGTGCGTCTTCACAGGTCACGAGAAGGTGGGTTATCAAACAGTGGTCGGAAACCACCTTGTTAAAATTCACCCTTCATCAGCTGTCAAGTTTATGGGTGAATATCCTAAGTTTGTTGTTTATGAGAAAATKTTGAAAACGTCCCAAGATTTCATTATTAATGTTACCCCAATCGAAGAGCAATGGCTGTGGGAAACTATCACAGATCCAGTTCTTCTCAACGATACACTGCAGCTTGTTGAGAATGTGATGGTAAAAAGAACAGTAGTATGCAGTGAGGCTTTGATTGAAAAGGCATTGCTTCCTTTAAGAGAGAAGATGCCTTTGTTCGAATCAGAAATCTCCAGATCATGCAATGGTGTGCCTGTAGTTGCTGAGGTGCAGAAGAAAAATGCCATCCTAGACATATTCATATCAAGTCAGTATGCTGATCACGGTGAAAAGGTTGTACAACATTTCTTGGAAACAGGAAAAATGATGTTGCGGGAGCAGACCTCTGAATATCCTCTAGAATCTGATGCACCAGGCTTACAAGTGGTGATAGGGTCAGGTTTGACTGTTCAACAAGTTCTAATGCCAGGAATGTACCGCACTATTTTCTCGCCAYATGACAGTCAAGAATTGCATGAATATCTAAAATCAAAAGGTAAAGTCATTGATCTCTCCGTGAGCAAGCAACACCAAACGTTTGCAACTTATGAAACACACGAGGAAGCAGTATGTGCTGTGACAGATGCAAAAGACCTGGAATTCACGGTTTTTCCCAAAAGAGGAGGTCAAAACCAGCCAAGGTCAGGTGCCTTTAATTTCATGCTAACAATATGTTGGCTTCGACGTGAACCAAAGGGGATGGCAAATGTTGTTTTCGTGGAACCGGTTCCTTGGCATGAGTTCCCTCTCCGGTGGTCAAGACATGTGATGGTTGGGTCTAAACAGGTCCGGGTCACTGCAGATAAATACCAACCCAATGCCTTATTTCTACAAAATCTTAACTCCTCCTCGACAAAAAAAGATATCAAGAGAGCCGTTGATCAGATTTTCCCTGGAACATCAGTAAGTGAATCAAGCATCAATATCCAATACAAACCACGGGAAAGTAATTCTATCTCGACGCCAGTCCAACGCAGACTGCTAGAAAAACTCATTGCAGAATTTTCCTCTCCAGAAGCGTTTGAGGTGTCAGTAAAGGCCATTCATGATAAATGTCCTTTTGCAAATGCCATGATCAGGTTTGCAAACCCAAATGAAGGAATGGAAGCCGCCAAACGACTTAAAASTCAAAGATGTAATGGGTTAGAAAGGTGGCCAGTCACTTTAGATGTTCGCCCAAAGCTTGATTATTACTACACCTGTTTAAAGCAAGTCTATGACACGGTTAAAGATGACATTCAACAACAGATCAGTGACATCGCTCAAGAATGTCAGGACCATTGCGGTTATGTTCTYAACTTGAAAGAAGAACCCCTTGGAAAAGTARCCTCTGGTCGGATCAAGCTGTTAGTGAACACGGAATGTCTTGAGCACTATGTRCAGGCTTCCAAAGTAATCACTCTTGCAATCCAGGGAGAATACTATGACTGTACAAAGCCAAAACAGCGCCTGAATCTACTGAGTACGCATGGAAAAGACAAACTTGCCACAATTCAGAAAGAATCTGGCGCACTTATCTTTCCCGATGTGAGAAAAGCGTCATTGGTGATATATGGTACCCGCACCCACAAAGACCAAGCAATCGATGCCATTGGTAGGTTTCTAAGTGATTTGGTACTAAGTGATACTACTGTCTTCGAAGTCAATCTCAAGGGAAATGACAAGCCAAGGGGTTTGTTGAAGCAGATCATATCTGCATTTGGAAAAGATCTCGAAAMACTTTGTGAAATCGATGGTGTTGTTAAAGCAAAAAAGTGCATTTTCAAGCATGTTTTGACAATTCAAAGCACCTCTGCAGCAAAGGAGTTAGTACTCCAGAAAATTATGGATATAGAAAGGTCATTACCGTACMAAGCTGAAATGAAATCCCCAGAAACCGCTACTGAGGATTGTCCGATTTGCACTTGTGAAGTAGAAGAAACTTACAGAATTAGTACTTGTGGGCACGCGTACTGTAGGAATTGTGCATTGGATCAAGTCAAGGCTGSTAGGTTTCCGATGGTTTGTGAATTCGAGAATTGCAATGAAAGATTCACAATAAAGGACATGAATTTGCTACTATGTTATGAAAAMGATCTACTGAAAAAGACCATTAAACAATCACTGGATGCATATTTGGGAGAGAATCCTGATAGCGCGAGGCATTGCCCATCTCCTGATTGTCCAATGATCTACCTTGTCACTCAAAAAGAAAAGCAGTTTCGATGTAGCCTTTGTTCTGTTGCTACCTGTACCGCGTGTCATAAAGCCTATCATCTCGGAATGACGTGTAAGGAATATGAAATTGAAATCAAAGACGCTGGACGGGAAGGTTTGGAGAAATGGATGAAAGAAAAACCAGATGAAAGAAAACGCTGYCCAACATGCTCAGGACCCATTGAGCGAAGGGRGGGCTGCAACCATATGCAGTGTCCCAAATGTAAAAATCACTTTTGCTGGCTTTGCTTAAAGGTCTTTAAGTCTGATGTGAATGTTTATGATCATCAGAGAGACTGTCCTCGAAGGCAATGAAGCCTTGCGGTGAGTATTTTTTATCATTATATATGTTTCTCATTCTAATTCACAACACAAATGAAGGAAAAAAATGCAATAACCGTCCACGTACGCATTTATATGTGTGCCTGCTCTTTGTTCGATACAGTTACATAATATTTTTTTTCCTTAGATACTTGGTTCTATTTGGTTCTATTCTGAAGAGCATTGACAAGAGAGAAACTGTTGATGTTGATGTTGATAAAATACAACTCTCATAATTATTCTTGTATACGAACTTAGCTTTTTGGTAGTGCATGACGGGTAAWATATTTTTTTAATTAGTAACGATTCTGGAAAACCCGAAACCGAAGGACCTGAAGGTTTGATTTATTGAATGCAGACAGGCATAGTCCATATCACAAGAYCGCCATTTTGAATGGTTTTGCAATGTATCATGGGATATATATCTCCCTTTCTTCATCAAAACAAATCGCTAAAATCGTAAAAACACTAATTAGTTTCGATTTTTCCACAGACAAAATATG